GGGCTCTGTGAGCGGGCAAAAAGAGGTGATTTCCCCCTGGTCTCTGCTGGAGGTGCAGAGTCCCACTGTTAGGGGCCCATGCTGGAGGTAATTAGTCCGTCCTTCGGGGCTCTGTGAGCGGGCAATGAGAGGTGATTTTCCCGGTCTCCGCCCTGGAGGTGTGAAATAAACAGAGTCCCCCTGTTAGGGACTGGTGCTGGAGGTCTCTAGTCCGTCCTTCGGTGCTCTGTGAGCGGGCAAAAAGAGGTGATTTCCCCCTGGTCTCTGCTGGAGGTGCAGAGTCCCACTGTTAGGGGCCCATGCTGGAGGTAATTAGTCCGTCCTTGGGGCTCTGTGAGCGGGCAGAGAGAGGTGATTTCCCCCTGGTCTCTGCTGGAGCTGTGAAAGAAACAGAGTCCCACTGTTATGGGGACATGCTGGAGGTAATTAGTCCGTCCTTGGGGCTCTGTGAGGGGGCAGAGAGAGGTGATTTTCCCCTGGTCTCTGCTGGAGCTGTGAAAGAAACAGAGTCCCACTGTTATGGGGACATGCTGGAGGTAATTAGTCCGTCCTTGGGGCTCTGTGAGGGGGCAGAGAGAGGTGATTTCCCCCTGGTCTCTGCTGGAGCTGTGAAAGAAACAGAGTCCCACTGTTATGGGGACATGCTGGAGGTAATTAGTCCGTCCTTGGGGCTCTGTGAGGGGGCAGAGAGAGGTGATTTTCCCCTGGTCTCTGCTGGAGCTGTGAAAGAAACAGAGTCCCACTGTTATGGGGACATGCTGGAGGTAATTAGTCCGTCCTTGGGGCTCTGTGAGGGGGCAGAGAGAGGTGATTTCCCCCTGGTCTCTGCTGGAGGTGCAGAGTCCCACTGTTAGGGGCCCATGCTGGAGGTAATTAGTCCGTCCTTGGGGCTCTGTGAGCGGGCAGAGAGAGGTGATTTTCCCGGTCTCCGCCCTGGAGGTGTGAAATAAACAGAGTCCCCCTGTTAGGGACTGGTGCTGGAGGTCTCTAGTCCGTCCTTCGGTGCTCTGTGAGCGGGCAAAAAAGAGGTGATTTCCCCCTGGTCTCTGCTGGAGGTGCAGAGTCCCACTGTTAGGGGCCCATGCTGGAGGTAATTAGTCCGTCCTTGGGGCTCTGTGAGCGGGCAGAGAGAGGTGATTTCCCCCTGGTCTCTGCTGGAGCTGTGAAAGAAACAGAGTCCCACTGTTATGGGGACATGCTGGAGGTAATTAGTCCGTCCTTGGGGCTCTGTGAGGGGGCAGAGAGAGGTGATTTCCCCCTGGTCTCTCCTGGAGGTGTGAAATAAACAGAGTGCTACATTTTGTAAATAGTGCAATATCTCCAGGGCGCATAACTGCACTTTACAAGCCAGAAATAATGTTTAAATGGTCGGGGAAAGTATTTTTAAATGTCTGGAAGAGAGTTTTAGACAGTCATTTTGCACGAAATCATTTAACATAGACGCTCTCCTGAAAATGCACAGAATATGTGCTTTTTCAGGAGACCGTCAATGTTAAATGATTTCGTGCAAAATGACTGGCTAAAACCTCGGAATAAGTGTTTGAAAAGCGGGGAAAAGTTGTTTAAAATAGTCTGATACCTCCAGGGCGCATCACCAAAAATGTACAAGCCAGGGAAGATGCCTGAATCCCGGATACTTTAGGTCTGTCACTTAGGGTGACCGCACCACTCCGACGCTCCCGAGAGTGGACGTCCATTGTTTGTAAGGCACCTAAGAGGGAGTAGAGGAGAGGGCTGAGCACGCAGCCTTGAGGGGCACCGGTGTTGAGGATCAGGGTGGAGGATGTGATGTTTCCCACCCGCACTGCCTGGGGTCTGCCCGTCAGGAAGTTCAGGATCCAGTCACAGAGGGCGCTGTTGAGCCCGAGGTCTCTGAGCTTGATGGCCAGCTTGGAGGGCACAATGGTATTGAATGCTGAACTGTAGTCAATGAACAGCATTCTCACATATGTGTTCCTGTTCTTCGGGTCCAGGTGTGAGAGGGCAGTGTGGAGGGTGAGGGCTATGGCGTCGTCTGTGGACCTGTTTGCTCTGTAGGCAAACTGCAGGGGGTCCAGAGATTCAGGGAGGGAGGAGGTGATGAATGATTTGACTAACCGCTCAAAGCACTTCATTACGGTGGAGGTGAGTGCTACTGGGCGGTAGTCGTTGGGGCAGGTGATGATTGTCTTTTTCGGGACAGGAACGATAGTGGAATGTTTGAAGCATGTGGGGACTACAGACTGCAGCAGGGACCTGTTGAAGATGTCTGTGAACACCTCTGCCAGCTGAACTGCACACACCCTGAGAACACAGCCAGGGATGCCATCAGGTCCAGGAGCCTTGTGTTGGTTAACCCTTTTAAAGGATTTACACACATCTGCCCTATTTAAAACAAAGGGGCAGTGTAGCTCCTGGTCCCTCTGTACCTCCACAGCCTGGCTGCTCTCAAAGCGTGCAAAAAAACTGTTCAGCTCATCTGGGAGAGATGCGCACGCAGACACTCCCGCAGCACCTCCCGCTGCTCCTTTGTAGTCAGTCATTGTCCTTAGTCCCGCCCACATATTCCTAGTGTTACAGCCTTTGAAGTCAGATTCCACCTTCTCTTTGTACTGTCTCTTTGCATTTTTAATTGCTCTCCGGAGATCATACCTAGACTTCCTGTACTCCTCCAAATCCCCCGCTCTGTGCGCGATAGTGCGCGCTTTCAGCTTGCCGCGCACATCAGAGTTTATCCAGGGCTTTTCATTTGGGAATGTCCGTACAGAAACCTTCGGTACCACGTCATCGATGCATTTCCCAATGTAGCAGATGACAGTGTCCGTGTGTGTGTTGATGTTATTGTCCTCAAACACACTCCAATCCGTAGATGCAAAGCAATCCTGCAGTGCTGAATCTGACTCCTCGCTCCATCGCTGTACTGTCTTTGTAATCGGTCTGTCCCTTTTAAGTTTCTGCTTGTACGCAGGCAACAACAGTAGTGAGATGTGGTCTGATTTGCCGAAGGGAGGGCGAGGGAGAGCCTTATATCCATTCCGGAAAGGGGAATAAACATGGTCCAATATGTTTCCCACGCGCGTTGGGTAGTTGATGTGTTGGTAATATTTTGGCAAAACCTTCTTCATGTTGGCGGTGTTGAAATCTCCGGCCACAACGAACGCCGCATCTGGCCGTGAAGTCTCGGTCTTATCAATAATCCCAAACAGCTGATCGAGTGCCGTGTTGTTGTCGGCGAGTGGCTGCGGGGGGACATACACTGCTGTTATCACAACAGATGTGAATTCCCTCGGCAGATGGAAGGCCCGACATGAGATCATGAGGTGCTCTATATGTGCGGAACAGTCCGATGAAATAATCTTCACATCTGAGCACCAGTTGTTGTTAGTCATTACACACACACCGCCTCCCTTACTTTTCCCCGAGTTAGCAGTCCGGTCCTGACGAAAAATAGAGAATCCATCAGGGACAATGGCGGAGTCCGGGATAGCGGGGTTGAGCCAAGTCTCAGTGAGAATTAACACGTTACAGTTCTTAATGTCCCGTTGAAAAGCAATCCGGCTTCTGAGTTCATCTAGCTTATTTTCAATGGATTGAACATGAGCCAGAAGAATACTCGGAAGAGGGGGTCGATTCTCTCGTTTCCTCAGTCTGACCAGCAGCCCGGCCCGGCACCCGCGTTTTGTCTTCTTCTTGCGTCTCTCAGGTAGAACAGCAACAGGTAGCCATGGTGAATCTCCATTGTCTGTCGGAGGGTTATTTTTGTCAACGAAGTTTCGCAATTGAAGAAGTTCCTCTCTGCTATATTGTATGGCAGAGTAGGTGCGGTCGGCTAGCATGTTGCGAACCATGTTAAAAGTAAAACGGCAAAAGTAAAATAAATATGTACAAAATACGAAAATGGGCAAAGTTGGAGAGGAGCACAAAGACGATGCGGCCATCTTCACCGGCGCATCACATCAGATTTTTCCAGGTTGAATTGAGGCGAATATGTGTAATGTTCAGAGGTTGTTGTGTTTAATGTTCATGATAATATTTGTCATTATTCAAATGATAATAAACAAACATTTGCATAAAGCATATTTGTCCACTCATATGTTGATAAGAGTATTAAAAACTTGAAAAATATCCCTCTAATGTACATTTAGAACAGATAAAAAATGAGCGATTAATTTGCGATTAATCGCGATTAACTATGGACATCATGCGATTAATCATTTTAATCGACTGACAGCCCTATAGTTAAAACAAGAGGAAACATTATATTAACTTGAAGCATTTGATGAATAAATATTTGACATATGTTCTGATAGAGATTTGCTGTTAGTCCATTTTATATTATATATCATAATATATTATAGTAGAGTTTAATGTGTGAGTTGTCAGTGTGATCTGATCACTTGTGTGTGCTCCTGCTGTGAGTGAATGTTACCAAAGAAAAATAAATCAAATAAATCACTTGAAAATATTAGAGATGTACATATTTAAATGTTAATTAATATTTGGATGTGAATGATGGATGTTTAGGCTTCTCTGAGCATCTGAACATGTGTTGCGCACAAAAACACAATTAACAAACCAATAAAGTTTCAATATTTTAAACTGAATACCATCAGATGTTCTCAGTATATCAGCATTAAAACATAACTCTGTTATTGGTGGGAAATGATATAGATCTTATTTTAAACTCCAACACATTGTGATTCAAACGTGTCTGTTTATTGATAAAGAAACTACTAGAAAGTAATAATAACATGTTTCTGTGATAACTGTAAGTCCTGCTGTGTGGTATGATCACATTCTGAGAAACCTCTAAAGTCCTTCATGTGTTTGACATGTCGCCTCCATCACTCAATATGAAGAGAGGAACGGTTCAATTGAACTATTATTATAAATAAATAGAAGAACAGTGTTGGTTTTATTTTGCTCTCAGTATTTAAACAACAGAAATGTTAAAGTGTTTATTTTAATAATTAAACTCCTGATCCACATTAGTTTATAAAGATAATCACATCTGGACTTACTTGGCCTTCCTGCAGTTCCTCACAGCTGGAATCAGTCTCTGTTTCCCCTCCCATGATGTGTTGTACTGATCCAGGTCCAACTCATCCAGAACCTCCTCTGACATCTGCAGCATGTAGGCCAGAGCAGAGCAGTGGATCACAGAGAGTTCCTTCCTTGATCTGTTCTCTGACTTCAGGAACTCTGTGATCTTCTGATGTACTGAGTGGTCCTTCATCTCTGTCAGACAGTGGAAGATGTTGATCATCCTGTCAGGAGAGATTTCTTCACTGCTCATCTCCTTCAGGTTGTTGATGGCTCTCTGGATGGTTTCTGGTCTGATGTCTTTGCGACCCAGCTGGCCTTTGAAGAGTCTCTGGATGATTTCTGGACGCTTGTCTGTGCGACCCAGCAGGCCTCCTAACAGTCTCTGGTTGGACTCCAGAGAGAGGCCGTGGAGAAAGCGGACAAACAGGTCCAGGTGGCCATTTTTACTACTGAGGGATTTATCCATGGCTCCCTTGAGGAAGACATCCAGGGATGGGTAATCCTGATATCTGTTCTCATAGGGCCGGTCTCCCTGCAGGAAGTCCTTCAGTACCGCTGTGTTCCTGTAGGTGTAACAGTGAAACATGTAGACTGCAGCCAGAAACTCCTGAATGCTCAGATGAACAAAGCAGTAGACTGTTCTCTGGAAGATCACACTCTCTCTTTTGAAGATCTCTGTACAAACTCCTGAGTGCACCAAGGCCTCGGTGACACCAAGACCACAGCGCTGCAGGTCTTCTTGGTAGAACATGATGTCTCCTTTCTCCAGATGTTCAAACGCCAGCCTCCCCAGCTTCAGAAGAACCTTCCTGTCAGCCTCCGTCAGCTGCTGTAGACTCGTCTGATGTCCCTCTTCATACTTCTGTTTCTTCCTCTTGGTCTGGACCAGCAGGAAGTGTGAGTACATGTCAGTGAGGGTCTGGGGCAGCTCTCCTCTCTGGTCTGTAGTCAACATGTGGTCCAGAACTGCAGCAGTGACCCAGCAGAAGACTGGGATCAGACACATGATGTGGAGGCTCCTGGAGCTCTTGATGTGAGAGATGATTCTGCTGGACAGGTCTTCATCACTCGATCTCCTCCTGAAGTACTCCTCCTTCTGGGCGTCAGTGAAGCCTCGTACTTCTGTTACCCTGTCCACACACTCAGAAGGGATCTGATTGGCCGCTGCAGGTCTGGAAGTTATCCAGACGAGAGCCGAGGGAAGCAGCTTCCCCCTGATGAGTTTTGTCAGCAGCACGTTGACTGAGGACTGCTGTGAGACATCAGACACAACCTCATTGTTTCTGAAGTCCAGAGAAAGTCTGCTTTCATCCAGGCCGTCAAAGATGAACAGCACTTTGCAGACAGCCAGCTGCTCTGCTGTGACCTTCTGTAAGGTTGGATGGAAAACATGGAGCAGCCTGAGAAGACTGTACTGCTCACCTTTGATCAGGTTCAGCTCCCTGAAGGAGAGCGGAATCACCAGACTGACATCTTGGTTTTCCAAAACCTCGGCCCAGTCCAGAGTGAACTTCTGCACTGAGAAGGTTTTTCCAACTCCAGCGACTCCGTTGGTCAGGACCGCTCTGATGAGAGTCTGTTGGTCGGGTAAGGCTTTAAAGATGTCCTGGCACTTGATTGGAGTGTCATGGAGGGTCTCCTTCTTGGAAGCGGTCTCCAGCTGCCTCACCTCATGTTGGGTATTAACCTCTTCACTCTGACCTTGTGTGATGTAGAGCTCAGTGAAGATCCTGTTGAGGAGGGTTTCACTTTGATCAGTTCCTTCAGTCACATGTTCACATCTCCTCCTCAGACTGAGCCTATGTTCATCTAAAACCTGCTGCAGACCACTATCTGCTGCAAGAGAAGGAAACAGGAGAGAATCAGAAAATGCTTTTGAGAATCTAACAATGAAACTAATAAAAATAGACTGAGTTGAAATGTTTTGCAAACAGCTTAATGTCTATGCTCTACAACAGTATGCCTCATCAAGACCAAATGAACCAGGAAGAGGAATAAAACGCTGCATGAGTTCGGCCTCTTACCTCGTACAGAGCTGGTCTGACTGGCTGTCTGCAGTCCAGCTCTGGTTCTGGATCTTTCTCCGCACTGGGGACAGGAGGGGTCTCCTGATGGAGGACGCTGCTCCCAGTATGAGGTGATGCACTGTCTGCAGAACCAGTGTCCACAGCTGGTAGAGACTGGATCCTTCAGGACGTCCTGACACAGAGCACAGCTGGACACAGGAACAGGACTCTTCCTCTTCCCTCTGTGGAGATGAACACATCCTTTATAGCACTTTGAGGAGCTGATTATCACCAAAGGTACAACAAGGGGGCACATTTTAGTTTGATATTTAAAAAACGTTCTATACATTATACCTTTGTGATCCGGTAGATAGCTTACAATTCACATGATCATAAAACCAAAGAGCATCCTGTCTGGATTCATGACATCCCCCAGAGGAGCACAAGTTCACTGCATCTACTAAGACACACAGCTGTATTAACCTGGTGCTTTATAAACCCAACTTGCATAGAATCTGCTGTGAATTAATATCAATAAACATATGGAAAGGATGCCTAAATAACAACAGAATGATACTGATTTGTAAAAAGCCTGTGTTAATGCTTTGTCAGGTCTGTCTCCAACACAACGAGCATAAACATTTAAAAAATTTTGTTTTCTGAATGAGATGGGTTTGATTAAAGCTAGGCTAACATTGTAGCTGCTCCATCAGCCCTCAGAGTAACTTCATGTAGTCATAAGTACAGCAGTGACTATATTGTTAGCACCACAGACAGTCTCTGGTTTAAACAGGTACATTAATAACCATTAGGGATGCTCCGATCGATCGGTCACCGATCGAGATCTGCCGATACTCACTCTCTACCGATCGATCGGTGCTCTCTAAACATGCCGATCGCGAGAGCCGATCGCATGATGTAAAATACATGACACTTTTCTCTGTGCGCGGCAAAACAAGCTCGCCAAAATGGCTTCACCGGTCTGGCATTATTTTATGGTGTCCGAAAAAGACAGTAAAATAGCGGTATGCAACGTGTGTGAAGCAGAAATCCTGCAGCTCCGCCCGCTGTGACGGACCGGTGAGCGGAGCGAAACACACAAGAGTTAGACCTAAAGGCCCTGACACACCAGGCCGAAATCAGCCGTCTTCGTTAGTCGGACGACAAAGCGTGCCCTGTCGCCCAAACTCAATTTGGTGTGTCCCGAACCGTCGGCCGCGACACGCCTTATTTGGCCTTTCACGGCCGACGCACGGCCGATTCAACATGTTGAATCGGCCATGCGTCGGACAGAGGCAGTCGGACCAAGAAATCACTCTGATTGGCTGTTCAGCTAGCGAATCAGTGCATGAGAAGCGAAACGGTTGCTTGAGAATGTCTTGAATTATCCTCAAATAATGTTAGCTTGCTGTACTCTGCTGCGTGTTTCCTTTACAAACTGCTCACATGATATCATTAAAGAACAGTTTAATGTATTAGATTACAAACAAACTGAATCCTCTTCAGGTCAGGTTACAGTAGAAACTCTTACTTTGTGTCTGAGGGTCCAGGTTCATTTCTGAAGGTTGGAGGGTCCCCCATAGACCAGTCACTCTTCAGAGACAGACCGCTGGGGACTGGAGACTCTGCTCTCTGTCTGTGGAAACAACACATGTTTTAAACATCATTAGTTTATTTAAAGAGCAGATTTTGATCCATGACTGTTCACCTGATTAACGATTTTTAGAGTTTTTGAGTCTTGATTGTAGGTTTCTGTTGTTAAAATTCATTTGAGTGTGAAACGTTTTACATATTTGTATTTTGTTTGCTTAATTTAACACAAAGTCCAACATGTAGAGAGTGAGGATGATTTCACTGGTAGATCATTTACTATTGCTGTAAAGTCAAACAGAGCCTAAGGCTATAATAATTATAAAATAAATACAGATTACAATTAGTCGAACAATAATATATATAAATACATATCAATAAAAAAATAGCTTAAAGGTAGGGTAGGTAAGTTTGAGAAACCGGCTCGAGATCGCTAGAATTTGAAAATACACAACCGGAGAAAATGTGCCACTTCCTTACAGAGCCCCTCCTCCAACACACACGAACGCGCACATGACCAATGAGGGCACGAGATAAGTTTGTGCACAGATGGAAGGCTGACAGGTAGGTAGGCCATCCAGTTATTTTAGCCGGGCTGGCTAAAATGATTGGTCATGCTTTTTACAGTACTACGGCTTCCACAGATGAAATTTTTTTATGGATTTTTTGTCAAAGCACTTCAGATATTCATTGCTATCGGGATGTTAAGAGCATTCCATGGAATATAACAAAAAGTGTATCTCGAGCCGGTTTCTCAAACTTACCTACCCCACCTTTAATCTTAATAAGAAATGAAATCATTAGCGTTACAAATATGTTCATTTAAATACAAATGACCCATTATAGAAATTGAGTGTGTAATGATTGCAGGCGGTCCTCCTCTGGCAAGCGTGTGTAATCACACTAATCAGAAAGCCCCGGTGCCGCTACCTGAAGGCCCTGACACACCAGGCAGTCACCAGAGAACTCGCCGACACCGACACCGACAGTTCCATCGACGAGTTCTCCTGCGTCTTGGCCATGTGTCGCACTGGAAATCACCGCAAAGACTTCAGCCGAGCACGTACGAACTGCGTGAGTGGCAATAACTCTCCTTACCAGCAGGCGGCGGGTAGTGTGTATTCGTCATTCAAAATAGGAAACAACCGGAAGACAGAGAAGAAGAACAGACTGATACAAACAAACAACAAATAGCGTGTGCGTTCCATTTTCACTCTCGTCCATCGAAAACATGTTTTAGAATATAGAAACACATGAATGATGAAATGAGCACATAAAGTGCAGACATACTATAAAATCACAGTTAATAGACCTGCATCTGATGATCGCAGTGTTTTGGCGGGTGTGTAGTTTATTGAGTCAGCAATGTAATAATGGCCACTTCTTGCTAAATTTACGATGAGATGAAAAACCGGACTTGACCAAACAAATCACGGAGCTCTCAGCAGAGGACAGCCGGGGACGCTCCCACCGATATCAGAGATGTCCCTGCTATGTGTGGGAGGTAAGAGAGGACATTTAAGGGCTATGTTTGATGTCTTTAAGTATCACCTGCTGGTGTTTAGCTGCTGTCCTGTGCCTTTTTAAATCGTTTGTTTACGTCCCTCACTTCCGTTTCACTTCTCATTTGCTAGCTGAACAGCTGATCAGAGTGGTTTCTTGGCCCGATAGCTTGTGGCCGTATTTTGGCCGATTCAACATGTTGAATCGGCCGGGTGTCGACCGTGAAAGGCCAAATAAGGCGTGTCACGGCCGAGGGTTCGGGACACACCAAATTGACTTTGGGCGATAAGGAACGCGTTGTCGCCAGACAACGCAAGACGGCCGAATACGGCCTGGTGTGTCAGGGCCTTTAAATAGTTGGTGCGTGCGAGTCGGTGACACACTGAAGCGTGCAGACAGGAGGCAATCTACCAAGGCAGGACAGGCAGCCGGTCAGACACTCAGATCCATAGTGTTGTGTGAGAGGTCCGCAGAGCCACGGTGCGCTAAGATGTTTTATGTTCTGGTAAATTGTTTGCGTGTGTGCCACGTGTCCTTTTATAACTCTGCGCGTCATTGTTTATATATTAAGCATCAATTTGGTGCGCTGATTTTGCAGAACATTCTGAGCTTAGACTCTCTGTTAGTTATTGTTAAAAGGATAGGTAAAAGAAGGACCTATTTAATTTAACATCCTGCAATTAGCCTACTCTGATAGGTGTTAAAAGGATATAAGATGTTAGGAGGTTAAATACATTGAATTTAAGAAGAACAATAAATAAATAAATACAATCAAATATTTATTGTTTAAAAGTATTCATTTAGATTTACTAAAAACCTTTCTAATAAAATCCTGTTAATTTAGTTCACTGAATATTCCTGCTACAATGGAGAAAATAATCTTTCTTGTTTAATTTGATTTATTAAAAATATTGCTAGTAAAGTCTTGTTTAATTAGTTGAATACTTCTGTTAAAACAGTAAAGAATATTTCTTGTTAAAATAAAAATCATTTGATTTGTTACAAATATTTTTATTAAATCCAGTTAATTAAATCTACAGAGATTTAAAAAGAGCTTGGGTTTAGAGAATTGATGTTTAAAATTAATATTTCTGTGCTTAGTCTGCCCAGTTTATTTGTAAAATATTCACAATAAGGCAGCAGTGTCAGTGTATTGTTTGCATGCTTTGTTTATTTTAATAACTTGCAAGTTGTCTAAATGCATCCTTCTTGTTTCAAAGGTTTTCCCCCTACACTAAATGACCCATTCAGCAAGTAAATGGACTTCTGTTTGAAGTAAACTGCTGAAATAAAAGACTGGAAAGTAAAGCTGTGTCTTTGGAGTGGAATCCTGTTCAAAGTCAGTAGATGCCTCAAGTCCCTTTCAAGTGGGGAAACTGCACCAAAATCAGAGGAGACTTGACTATTGCTGATGATGACAAGGAGCAAGAGTTCAACTTTGTTGATACACTAAAAACTGAATCCTCTGCAGGTCAAGTTACAGTAGAAACAGACTCTTACTTTGTGTCTGAGGGTCCAGGGTCATTACTGAAGGTTAGAGGGTCCCCCATAGACATGTCACTCTTCAGAGACAGACAGCTGGGGACTGGAGACTCTGCTCTCTGTCTGTGGAAACAACACATGTTTTAAACACCATTAGTTTATTTAAAGAGCAGCTTTTGATCCATGACTGTTCACCTGATTAAAGATTTTAAGAGTTTTTGAGTCTTGATTGTAGGTTTCTGTTGTTAAAATTCATTTGAGTGTGAAACGTTTTACATATTTGTATTTTATTAGCTTAAAGGGGACCTATCATGCAAAATGCACTTTTGTACGTCTTTTCTACATGAATATGTGTCCCCGGTGTTCCAGGGAACTCACCAAGTGTCAGAAAACACAACCCTCTCTATTTTCCTCCATACCCAAATCTCTAAAAAAGGGGCTGCAACGGATCTGATAAAAACTGATCCAGATTTGAACACTGTCCTGACGTCAGGACGGTGGCGCTACGGCTATTGGGCCAACTCCACCAATCAGGAGGAGACAGCCACGGCCATTGCCGTTCGAAAGCGCTGGAGACGCTGTAGTACATATGCCAGGCCTGTAGGTGGTGCTGTTCTCACTGAATCTGCCCTTGCAAAAACAGGGCTAAAAAAGTGCAAATTGAGCGAAATGAGGCATGGCTAAAATGCATGATCTGTTTGGTATTTTGAAGAAAAAAAAAGTATAAATATGCCTTATATAGGTATGGTCCTACACTATATTATTCAAATATAGCATGATAGGTCCACTTTAATTTAACACAAAGTCCAACATGTAGAGTGTGAGGATGATTTCACTGGTAGGTCATTTACTATTGCTGATGATGACAAGGAGCAAGAGTTCAACTTTGTTAATGTACTCTACTGGGTTTCATTAAACAGTTTAGATGATCAGATACCAAACAAACAGAATCCTCTTCAGGTCAGGTTACAGTAGAAACAGACTCTTACTTTGTGTCTGAGGGTCCAGGTTCATTTCTGAAGGTTAGAGGGTCCCCCATAGACCAGTCACTCTTCAGAGACAGACAGCTGGGGACTGAAGATTTGTCCTCTTCGTCATCTTTTAAATCACTCATCTTCTTCAGTCTGAGAGGTAAACCAGTAACACTGGAGACACACACACACACAACACACACACACACACACACACACACACACACACACACACACACACACACACACACACACACACACACACACACACACACACACACACACACACACACACACACACACACACACACACACTTGTTTCAATCTAAACCATCTTGATAATAAACTTGGTTAAATTCATTAAATCAGTCAGACTTCAGACAGGCCGCTCTCCATTTTGACTGCGTCACATGTTATGCAACTCTGTTGAATCAGAAAACAGGAAATAATGAACGTTTACAACACTTGCAGAAGTCTCATTGGACTCTAGGACGCAGACTTTTAACCAATAAGTTATTTTCTGACATCCAGTATAACAGAGTAAATAATGAATGTGTTAGAAAGCAGATCCTGGTGTTAACACTCACGCTGTTGTCCTCCTGCTCCGTCGAGCTGTAAAATGGCGACTGGCAGTCTGACAAGTCTTACTCCATACTTTCACTTCCTTTTCAACTTCCCTCCCCGTCTGCAGCTCCTCCCTTTGTTTCATAACCAGCCTTATCAGCTGAAGCAGTACACATACATTCAGCTAAAAACAAGCTCAACAAAGTTATCAAAAGACACACAACATTCACACATCAGCATCCATAGGCTAGGACCAGGTGGAGGGATTATATCTCTTGGCTGGCCTGGGAGCGCCTTGGGACCCCCCAGTCAGAGCTGGTTGATGTGGCCAGGGAAAGGAACGTTTGGGGCTCTCTGCTGGAACTGCTACCTCCGAGACCCGACCACGGATAAGCGGGAGAAGATGGATGGATGGATGGATGGATGGATGGATGGATGGCACAGGATCATCTGCCAATACAAGCACTTTTGTTCATGTTTAATCCATAATAAAATATAAAATTATAGTTGGATATTTTTGTCTTGTTATTGTTAGCAGAGAAAATGTAATGTTTGTACAACTATATAGGCTACAATTAATTCTACCAATCTCTGTGGGAACCGGATTAGGGGGGGCTCAAAGATATTTCCAATTACACAAGGGGGGCCTGACTGAAAAAGGTTAGGAACCACTGCATTAGCTAGTTAGAATTAGCCGACCTTTACTGTATAGAAAGCTTTTTGGGGAAGACTTCCCGAATAAAATAAAATATATAAACAGTCATGTCAGCATTTCATCACTTCCTGTCCCCTGGTCTGGAGGTCAATGGTTTTCTGAATGTGTTTTTGATTGTTATCCTGAAATAAGGTCTGTGGTTAACACAAGCTGAAGAGATTTTAATGTTTTGTTCTACGACAAAAAATACGTCAGTAAATACCCCACTGGTGAATTTAAAAACGGCAGTTGCTAACAAGTGTCTAAATGAGACGACCAAACGTCATCACGACCAACATAAGACACCTTTAGCTTAGCGGTGGTGACGTGAAGTCCTGTGACCGTGCTGTAGTTCCTTTATAGCCCAACATTAGCCCCCTTTAGCTTAGCGGTGGTGACGTGAAGTCATGTGAACGTGCTGTAGTTCCTTTATAGCCCAACATTAGCCTCCTTTAGCTTAGCGGTGGTGACGTGAAGTCATGTGAACGTGCTGTAGCTCCTTTAGAGCCCAACATTAGCCGCCTTTAGCTTAGCGGTGGTGACGTGAAGTCATGTGACCGTGCTGTAGTTCCTTTATAGCCCAACATTAGCCGCCTTGAGCTTAGCGGTGATGACGTGAAGTCATGTGACCGTGCTGTAGTTCCTTTATAGACCAACATTAGCCGCCTTTAGCTTAGCGGTGGTGACGTGAAGTCATGTGACCGTGCTGTAGTTCGTTTATAGCCTAACATTAGCCTCCTTTAGCTTAGCGGTGGTGACGTGAGGTCATGTGACAAAAGTCAAATGTCTCCTTAATTATGGAAGATCACCACACACACACACACTGATGTGGTCAGAAGAACAATTTCTCGTCTCTTTTTTCATTATTCTCTTGTTTAATATTCAAATATGAAGTGTGAAGTCAATGAACTCACTGCTTGATGCTGTTATTGTCCCTTTGAGGATGAGTTTAAAATGTTCACAGGATTGCTTCAAGTGTTTTGTCTGTTTTTGTGGTCCAGAAGTCCATGTGTTCCAGTACCAGATAGAAGAGATGAAGATGTGAAGATCGAGGTGAGACAGCTCACGAGTCCCAAATGTTGAGTTTAAAGTCCTTAACAAGTCTGTTTTTAGCCCTTTAACCAAAGCATTTAACATGTAAGAATTACAATTTTACTAATTATTCAAAGCAATTACCATAATAACCATTAAAACCTTATAAATCAGTGTATTAAACTAAAACGGAGCATTTTCTGTCAGAAATTGTCTGTGTTGTACGTCCTGCTTTTCAAAAATATATTTCGAGCACCTTGAGATGACAGATAACATTTATTACTATAATTGCTGTCAAAGCTCAAATCAATAATCAAGTTTATTTTTTATTTTACTGAGACAAAAGTCATATTTGTGACTCTGTGAACCCGTCCATCCTATTGGCTTTTCTCTTTCTTTATCCCAGTGAGAGAAAATATAAAGACACATTTTAAATATCTAAATATAACCCCCAAAATATCCGTATCACAGTTACGGTTAAGTCTCACATTTTTATAATATCTTAATTCAAACGTAAATCACACTACTTCAACACAATACAAAAAAGTTGATATTTAGCCAACATTAATTACACTGTAATCTGAGTTTTTCAATTTTAATTGTATTGTAATATTATATTTTAACTTTACTATGTACTATTTTATTGACCTGTATTTTAATCTTGTTTTATAATTGTTAGTGTGATAGAGATTATGCAATGTTGTTAGTGTCTGTTGATTGTTATGTACCTGCCTCAGGACTGCAGATGGAAATTAGCTATTAGCTCAAATCTGGCATAAATCGTCTCTTCTCTTTTCTGAGATCCTTGTTTAAATAAATACATAAATAATAAATTCAAAAAGCACCAATATTCTATTTAATACATTTCATTTTAAATAATAGTCATTATTATTCATTCGCAGCATTTTCTGTCCTTCTGCGTAAACAGAAACAGCGTTAACGTAATTGTTTACGTCATAAAACAAGTCAGTAGAAAACTGTTATGCATCGGGGAGAAGATGATCACAATGAATAATCCAACATCAACATTTAAAGTCGGTAAAAGATCCAACTGAGTTTGTTTTTTATAAGAGCAGTTACTCATGACTTCATTACCAAAGAAAGTCCTGATAAATCACATTACTAAGTTAAGTTACTCCCTGCCTCCCCTTTGTGATTCTCTCAAGGTCCCTGAAGGCATCCCTGATATCTCTCAGCGTGCCATCATTAATCTCACTTTGTCCCCTCTTCTCCTCTGGCTGTTAAAGCTCTTCTGTTTCTCGCTTTGTGCAAAGTGTTTTCGGTCTTCTTCATACCTTCATTTGTTTTATTTCCCATTGATTTGAACAGTTTCTCTTCAAGTTCTTATTTTCAGCATCCTGCTACGGTGGCCGACAGGAGCAAACGCACTACAACGGCCTAAAGCATTTCCATTCAAATCATCAGCAACTTGACAACACATGCAGCATTTAGAGAACATTCAGCGACTTGAGGAAACATGCGCAGCGTTTAATAAAAGCTGCAGAAACCAAACGCTGAAGAAGCTCAAAACACAACGGAGAACAGGGGACACTAAAGAGTGACGCACACAGCTGGGAGACCAGGGGACACTAAAGAGTGACGCACACAGCTGGGAGACCAGGGGACACTAAAGAGTGACGCACACAGCTGGGAGACCGGGGTTGCATTCGAATAGTCCATTTAGCTTAGGAACCTTCCTAACGGAGTGAAATGACCCGGAAGTCCCTCAGTGGCAGCCATGATAAGTGCCGTTCGAATTCTCTAAATTAAAAGGAAAGGAGGTTTCAAACTTCCTTTATAACCTCCTTTAGCCTAGGAACCACTGGACCTCCCTAACCGAAAGGAGAGGAGAAAATGCTGCCCCACAATGCCTTGCGGCCGCAGCATTTGCCGTCACACAACAGTCGGCCGTTCACGGAAACAACCGATTATGAACGAGAAATGATATCATGAAAGTTACGGTGCTTATTAAGCATTTTAAAACGTATGTGGTAAGTTGCCAAAGTGCTTTGTTTTGAACGTTCATCAGTATTATAATCAAAAAGAGAAATATGAACGTTAGTTTTTACTGAAATGATCAAATAAAGTCAACATTTCACTGAGCTGTGTGGGGTTTGTTCAACTTTTAAAAGATGTTTGAATGGTGATATACACAGTGATAGATGTTAAGGACTAACGTTTATAATAAATACATTTGTATTGATTTTAAGATCTTTTCATACAATCATACGTATTGGGATCATTTGTATTAATGTGGACCGGAGGGAGAGGGTGACGAGCATTATCTTGTAGTGAGAAGGGACAGGAACGTGAATGGAGGTGGTGTCTGCATGTACATACATAAAGACACCAATTTCAAAAACCGTACTGACCTGCATCATGAAAATATTGAATCTGTGTGGGTTGAAATTCTTTTTGACAATGCTAAATCTGTAATAGTCGGGACAATCTATAGACCACCGGAACAGAGTGACTTTTATGATACATTAGATGGGTGTTTGGCTGATGTGGGGGATGTAGAGACAATTATTATTGGAGACTGGAACACGGATATGCAACGTAAAGACACGTCCGTCTTCAAGTCCTTCAGTAGGATTTGTGATCTGCACGGCTTCAGCCAGCTAATCACCCAACCCACCCGGGTATGTGAAACAACACAAACTACCATTGATCTCATTCTGACCTCTGACAGGTCCAGGATCTCCAGTAAAGGGGTTATAGCATGCGGTTTAAGTGATCATTATATGATATTCTGTACCCGCAAAAAGCTAAAACAAAAGGCCGGCTGTCACAAAACAGTCATATCTAGAGACCTCAAAAACTACTCTAGCGAGGCCTTTAACCTAGAACTGGAGAGCCTGGACTGGTCAGATGAGCTCAGTGGTACACAAGTTGAAGACACATGGCTTGGTTTCAAAAACAAATTCTCTGCAATACTCAATGATTTGGCCCCCCTAAGAACAACCAGGGTAAAAAATCGCGCTGAGCCGTGGATGCACTCCGGCATACTGACCGCCATGAAAACCAGAGACAAAAAATGCTCTGAGTTTCATAAAAGTCAGTCAATGCTTTCCAAAAGCACGAGCAGTGAACTCCAGGCCCACGTGACTGAACTAAAAATTGAAAGAAACAGACTAAGAAATGACGTAAGCTCCATGATCAAAACTGCCAAAAAGAATTTCATCAATGACAAAACTGAGGAAAACAAAAATAAACCCCGTGAACTTTGGAAATTACTCAATAACCAGCTTGGCTGCAGTAAAAAACTCAAAACGAGATTTTCAAACGTAAACATAAAGACAGATAACAGGCTCAT